AGGAGGAGGAGGAGGAGGAGGAGGAGGAGGAGGGAGGAGGAGAAGGAGGAGGAGGAAGAGGAAGGAGATGACGAGGCCTCTTGAGCACTTGATGGGGCCTTCTGGGGAGGCTTTTCTGGGAGCCTCTTGGATGCCTCTGAGGGCCCTCTTCGGGGCCTCCAGGGGCCTCTTGGGGGCCTCCTGGGGGCTTCTGGGGGCCTCAAAGGGACCTCCGAGCCTTCGGAGGCAGCCTTGGGCCTCTCTGGGCAGTCATGGGTTCCTGTTGGGCGCTTTAGGGCCGCCTTGGAGGTCTATGGGATCGTCTTGGGGCCATGTTGGCGGCTTCGTGGGCCTTCTTGCGACCCTCTTGGCCCGTCTTGCGGGCCTCTTGGGGGTCACTTGGGCCGTTGAGGGAAGATCTTCGGGGCCTATGTCGTCTTGGAGCGCTGGAAGCCCGAACCGGCGAGAATGCTAAACTCATTTGACAACCTGAGTCGAATCCATGATTTTGGCCTCCTCGAGGTCCTCTCGGAGGCCTCTTGGGCCGTCTTAGGGCCATCTTGGCCGTATTCTTGGGCTCTCTTGGGACCATTTTTTAGCAGTTTCGGAGACTTCATGGAGGCTATCTTGGAACCGTGGTGGCCGTCTTTCAGGCGAAATGTTCGTTTATTCCCGGCCTCCCGGGTCCTTCCCGGTGGCCGGCGCGATCGGCCGAAGCCCCAAAGGACCAGAACCACTCTAAGGCGCCTACGGCGAATCACCGCCGCCACCTGCTTTTTTCGGAAGCGCCCCTGTGGCCGAATTTTTGGCGAGACTTTGGCCAAGCTGTCGGATCATGTATTCCCCCAGCCGCTCGGGAAAGTCTTCGTGGAACTTTTGGGGGAGGATGAGGGGGAGGATCAAGAGAGGGAGGAGCAGGAGGAGCAGTTGGAGGAGGTGAAATAGGAGGAGGAGGCTGAGGAGGAGGAGTGTAAACCCAAGACTCATCAACAATGATGGAATACACCCTCCCTCCAAGCTCCCTCGTCATAGGCCCCAGAAGGGTTTGTCTTCACAGGGAATTAACCCGTATGGGGGACAACCGTGTGGAAATCCCAGAGCGTGCCAGAAAACCATTCCCAGGAGTCCAGCACCGCGAGTTCACCTAACCGGTACGTCTCTGCGATCCTGAATCGTGCCAGAACGCCATTCCATGGACATCAACACAGCGAATCAGCGTAAATGTCGCGCCCTGGCAACCCTGAATCGTCCACAGTTTCTGGGTATGTTAACCATGAGAGCCAGTGAAACTCTTGTACTTATAATCCGAATGCGCGCGGCGCTAAGGCGAGAGCCACATTTTGAAGACGAGCCGCCACCAATCAGTGACACTCGGGCAGTTTTCAGAACGAATGTGCGCGGCGCCATGGCGAGAACCACGTTTTGAAAGCCACCCGTCCTCGATCCGTGACGCTCTTGCAAATGCCGGCACGAATGCGCGCGGCGCCAAGGCGAGAGCGTCCTTTTGAAATCGATCCGCCCTCCATCCGCGGAACTCCTGCAGTCTTCAAAACTAATGTGCGCGGCGCCTAGGCGAGAGCCACATCTTGAAACCGACCCGCCCTCAAGACCTGAGTCCCTTGCACTTGTTTAAAACGAATGCGCGCAGCGCTAATGCGAGAGCCACCTGTTGAGAACGACCCGCCTTCAATCCGTGAACACTCCTTGGTGAATGTTTGAAGCCAATACGCGCGGCGCTGAGGCGAGAGCCACATTGTGAAAACCACCCGCCCTCAATCCGTGGAGCTCTTGCAAATTTCAAACGGATGTGCGCAGCGCTAAAGCGAGGGCCACATTGTGAAAACGACCTGCCCTCAATCTGCGGAGTTCTTGCAGTTTTTTTGATCGAATGTACGCTGCGCTAGGGTGAGAGCCACATGTTGAAAACCACTCGCCCTGAATGTGTGAAACTGTTGCCAATTTCTAAGCGTCAGGACCATACATGGTGAGGAAGTCTCAGGCGGAACACCCGGCCCGCCCTTTCGACTGGCCTCGGGGTGCGACGGGGAGGAAAGGCATGGAGGAGGAGGAGGAGGAGGAGGAGGAGGAGGAGGAGGAGGAGGAGGAGGAGGAGGAGGAGGAGGAGGAGGAGGAGCCTCTTGGGGCACTCTTGGGGCTTCCGTGGAGCTTCGTCGGGGCCTCTTGGGCCCTCTTGGGTGCCTCCTTGGACCTCATGGGGGCCTTTGGGGGCTTGTTTGGGGCATCTTTGGCAGTCTCAGAGCGTTCCTGGCCCGTCTGACTCAGTGGGAAGCCGTCTTGGGAGCCTTTCTGGACCGTCTTGGGGCCCTCTTGGAGCGCATCAGGGCCGTCTTTGAAGCCGTCTTGTGCGTTTTGTAAGCCTCTCTTGGGCCGTCTTGGGGCCCTCTTGCGGCCGTCTCTTGGGGTGCGATGTATACGGCCTCTTGGGACGTCGGAGGGCCGTCGGAAGGCCGTTTTGAAGCAAACGCCGAAATCCTTCAGAAACCTAGGGATACTCAACGATTTTACCATCTTCGGGCCTTCCTGGATGACCTCTTGGATGCCGCTTGGATTGTAATGGAGGCCTCCTGGGGGCTTCTTGGGCCAGCTTGAGTCCGTCTTAGGCCGTCTTGGGTGTATCCTGGGCCGTCTTGGAGACATGTTGGAGCCATCTCGGGCTCTCTTGGGGGCATCCGAGCCGTCTTGGAGGTCATCTCAGCCGTCTTGGATGTCATCTCGGGGCCATCGTAAGAAGGAAGGTCAATGGCGTACGAGTTTTCTGGTTGGCCGGCGCCACGTGGAACCTGAATACAAGTCGACTAGACGTAAGAGTGACCTTTCGCAGGAGTGACCTTTGCCGCGGGCACAGATGGGTCCCCAGATGTCTGGTAACGAAACAGTAGCAGCTGGTTGCGCACCCAGGTTTTGTCCCCCCGCGGCCCCCAAAAAGCCGCGCACCAAAGGTCACTCTTACCCAAGGTCACTCTTGCGCATAGCCGAAAAAGGACCAGCATGATCTAAGTTTCAGCTAGCCGTGAAGCCCTGTGGCAAAAGCCACGGGGCGGCGGACCCAGTGGGCCTCGGCCCATCACGCCACCGTGGCTGGATATTTCTCAGGTGCCCTTTTGGGGGGCCTCCGGGGGGCCTGTTTGGGCTTGTCGGAGGCCTCATTCGGGCCTTTTGGCGGCCTCTTGCTTCTTGGGGGCCTGCTGGCTGCCTCAGGACCCTCGTGGGGTGGAGGGCTCGGACTGGCAGTTCGAGCTCACTCAGTTCGGCCCCTCTTGAGGGCCTCGAAGCCCCTCTTGTGTTCGGGGCCTCTTGGGCCGTCTTGGAAGTTCTAAACCCAAAGGGCGAACATGAGAAGACAATCGAAACACACATGTGTTCAATGAATGTGTGTTCCCTCGAGCCGGCCCCAGGGCCTCGAGACGGCCATCAAAGGAGCCCCAGAGCGGCCCCGTGGGAGCATCTGCTTCCATGCTGGGAGCGTGGATGCCGAACTGCGCTCCATCGGCCTCGTGAAAAGTTGTGCGACAAGCCCTGGCACTGCCGGGGAGCGCCCGAGAGCGTCGTCGAACTCGGGGAATTCGGGGCTCGGGCCCCCCTGGAAAATCTGCACCACGCAGCGTGGAGGCCTCGAAGGAGCCTGACGATTCTGCACTCAGGGTCACTCTCCAAGCTGACTGGATCTCACGGTGGCGAGCGCAGATGCAGATCGCGGTTTGCCTCCTCGGCAGTGCGCTGTGCGAGGCCACGGCCGAGCAGCGCGACGACTCGAGAGGCGCGCCCCGCCCTGGGGCCCGGCTCCCAGATGCGGGCCGACGGGTGGCGCACAGCTCGTGCTGGCAAACAGCGCGCGGCCCTGTGGCCTCGGCCGTCCTGTTCCTGAGAAGCCGCGGCCGGTCAGTTCAGTCTTTCTTACGGCAACAAGGGTGCAGGCCACCAGGATGCCTGCCTCCTTCCACGCAGCGACATGGTACTCAGTGCCTCGCGGGGGGGCGGCGGATGACTCCCCCCCCGCACTTGCTGTTCACGAGCGCGGTCGTCAGTCACTTCTTGGTGCAGGTAATGCGTCGTCTCTGCGTCTGGTTTTGAGATCGCCTAGATGTGGAGTCTTCTTTCCCACTCGCGTCCCAGGAGAGGCTGTCTTCAATCTTCGGGTGCGTTCTATATTCCTGAGTGTCCCTGCGTAAGTTTAGTTCAGCCGCGTGCTGATTATGGGGCGTCTGGCCGGAGGCGGGGCCTGCGGAGTCTGTTCATTTGGTTTTAGCCCGCTTTTGAATAGGTTAGCGTGTTGGCTCGACGATTCACAGTCGCCCGTCCAGGCGCATTGCGCGATGGGGCAGCTGGGTTCCTACATTCCAGGCGTATGTTGAGGATGAGTAACGTTCCCAGAACTGTACCTTTGCATCTTTGCAGCCTTGGGTAATCCTTAGCCGATCCTTGGAGCAAACAACTTTCACTCGGCACTCAGGTGGCATGCATCCTCACCACGCATCCTTATCGTTCACGTCGTCGGCATCACCACCACGCGGACCACTCCCATCACCACTGGCCGCCCCGCTGCATGGCACGATGCTGCCGCCGAATCGGCGTCAACGCAGTTCTGGTTCCAGATGACACCGACCCACTCTTCTCCTTCGGTACTCCAGATTTCGTAATAAAAGGGAGGGGGTCTGGACCCTCCAAGACAAGCCATTTCAGACCTCCCCCGTGGGAGAACCCTCCAAAACATCGTCCCCAGACCCCCCAGGCCCTCCCGGATAGCCTGGAAGAGACCCCCCCCCGAAATCAGACCCCCCTCCCTTTACTACGAAATCTGGAGTAACCACCCGTCTGACCGAGGCCTCCCTGCACAAAAAAGGCACAAGGGAGTGACAACGACCACAACATCTTCGGCCCTCGGCCTGTGCTCCAGGAACTGAGCGCCACGCTCCTCGAGCTTCCCGACCCGCTTCTTGCTGCTTCCTCCTCCTCCTCCTCCTCCTCCTCCTCCTCCTCCTCCTCTCCTCCAGTTCCCCGAGGTGAAGCAGGGCGTCCTGACCTTCAGCCCGCGAGACTGGAAGGGAGTCTCCGACGACGCCAAGGACGGGGGCCCGGAACAAGAACATTTGCCCTCGTCGTCGCCGCCGCCGTCGTCGTCGTCGTCGTTGTTGCCGCCGCCGCCGCCACCGTCGTCGTCGTCGTCGTCGTCGTCGTCGTCGTCGTCGTCGTCGTCGTCACTGTTGTCGTCCTCGTCCTCGTCCTCGTCCTCGTCCTCGTCGTTGTCCTCGTCGTCGTCCTCGTCGGCGTCGTTGTCCTCGTCGTCGTCGTGGTCGTCGTTGTCGTCGTCCTTGTCGTCGTCGTCGTCGTCGTCGTCGTCGTCGTCCGCGTCCTCGTCCTCGTCCTCGTCGCCGTCGTCGCCGCCGCTGTCGTCATCGTCGTCGTCGTCCTCGTCGTCATCGGCACGCCGTCGTCGTTCCCCGTTGGTCCAAGGTTCCCAGATGTGCGCCGCTCCGTTCTCCAGGCTTCCTCCTCTCCTGTAGGCAGCACCATCTTCTGCTGTCAACCCGCACGGTAAGGATGGGCAACCTCCCCAAGGGCTCCCTTGCATGCTTGCCTCCTCTGTCCATCCCTGGCCAGTTTCGCTGGCCACGCCCCGCTCAAAAAGCTTCGCCATGGGCGTCCAAGGCCCCTGCATCCTTATCGCGCATCCTTGCTATACTGGTGGACTGTAGGCTCCTTCTCCGGCCTTTCCTCAATCATTCTCTGCCTCTTTTCTGGACGCCCGAAATGGGTACGGAAAGAATGGGTACAATGCCCAATAACAGTTCCTGTTCATTTTGAACAGGATTCGCTGTCCACGCCGCCGCGGCCTGTGTCCATTCGAGACAGAAGGCCGCCTGCCCAACAGCGGCCGCTGTTGGTTCGGGACAACATTGGTTGTTGGGCATTGTACCCATTCTTTCCGTACCCATTTCGGGCGTCCAAATCTTTATTCCTGCCTCGGTGCCCGTGCCCCCTGGCCCACCCCGTCCCTGCTCCCTCCCCTCCTTCCCTGCTCCCGAACCTGTTTTCTCTCTCCTTCTTGCTTCCTCCTTCCCTCCTTCCCTCCTTCCCTCCTTCCCTCCTTCCCTCCTTCTTGCTTCCTCCTGCCCTCCTCCCTCGTGGCTTCCGCTCCTCCTTCTCCCCCCTCGCGCCTGGGAGGTGGAGGAGGATGGGGGAGGAGGAGGGGGGAGGAGGAGGAGAGGAGGGACGGAGGAAGAGCAGGAGGTGGAAACGGATGAGAAGGAGATGGGTTCTGAGGGTGAGAAGAAGAACGGGGAGGAGGACCACGCGGGAGAGGAGGAGGACCACGCGGAGGAGGAGGAGGAGGAGGAGGAGGAGGAGGAGGAGGAGGAGGAGGAGGAGGAGGAGGAGGAGGAGGAGGAGGAGGGGAGAGAAGGAGGAGGGGCAGGAGATGGTAAGAGAAGGGAGGAGGAATACTCAGGATGACGAGGGAGGTGCTTATAATATATCATGAGGAGGTCCAAGGTGGAGGAAATGGAGGGAGACCAGGAAGGAGGGAGGGACAATGATGATAGTGAGGGCGATGGTGAAGAGGATGAGGATACTTATGCTGCTGATGATGCTGATGCTGATGATGATGATGCTGATGATGATGATGATGATGCTGATGATGATGATGGTGGTTGCGATGATGATGCATATGATGATGCTGATGATGATGATGATGATGGTGGTTGTGATGATGATGACGATGATGACTATGATCATGATGATGCTGATGATGCTGATGCTGATGCTGCTGATGATGATGCTCATGCTGATGGTGATGATGATGAGGCTGCTGCTGATGATGGTGATGCCGATGACGATGATGATGATGATGATGATGATGATGATGATGATGATGATGATGATGATGATGATGATGATGATGATGATGATGATGATGATGATGATGATGATGATGATGATGACGATGATGATGATGATGATGATGATGATGATGATGATGATGATATGATGATGATGCTGATGCTGTTGCTGATGCTGCTGCTGCTGATGATGATGATGATGCTGATGATGATGATGATGATGATGATGATGATGATGATGATGATGATGATGATGATGATGATGATGATGATGATGACGATTCTGATGATGATGATGATGATGATGTCGATACTGCTGCTAATGCTGCTGCTGCTGCTGACGATGATGCGGATACGGATGTTTTTCCCAACCATCCTGTGGTGTTGGGCCCTTGTTTTGCAGAGACGGTCCCCGCGTTCCCCCCTCCTTTCTTCCTCCCCCTCCCCCTCCTCCCTCCTCCCTGCGCTTCACCCACCCAGTACAGCGTTTCGTGGCCCCCGTAGGGAGCTCCACCAAATGCCCCAGTGGCAGGGTTGGCATGGCGGCCCCGTCTCATTTTGGCGCACCCCTCACACGGTTCGTGGCCCCATAGAGAGCTCCACCGAAGGCCCCAGTGGAAGGGTTCGCATGGCGGCCCCGCCCCATTTTGGCGCACCCCCCACACGGTTCGTGGCCCTATAGGGAGATCCATCGAAGGCCCCAGTGGCAGGGTTTGCATGGCGGCCCCGCATTGCGGCGCAACCCTCACACGGTTCGTGGCACCATATGGGGGTTCCACCGAAGGCCCCAGTGGCATGGCTCGCATGGCGGCCCCGCTCCACTTTGGCGCACCCCTCACACGGTCCGTGGCCCCATAGGGAGTTCCACCGAAGGCCCCTGTGGCAGGGTTTGCATGGCGGCCCCGCCCCATTTTGGCGCACCCCTCACACGCTTCGTGGCCCCATAGGAAATTCTCCTTGCTTCTTCCTACCTGCCCTGCGGTTCTCACACTTGCGTATGGTTGAGTCCTTCGTTAGGATAGGTTTTACGATCTGGCGATGACGACGGAGCCGCTGGCGATGGCGATGATGCTGATGGTGCTGATGATGCCGATTATGAAGATGATGCTGCTGATGATGATGATGACGATGATGATGATGCTGATGTTGATGACGGCGATGCTGATGATGATGGTGATGCTGATGGTGGTTGTGATGATGATGGTGACGATGCTGATTCTGATGCTGATGTTTATGAAGAGTTCTATGGTGTTTGTTGATACTAATTAGGGCGACGCTTGATATGACGATGGTGATCATGATGAAGACTAGCTTATAACGATGACTGCGATGGGGCGTACGGCTATGCGATGAAGATGGTGACGGCCATTCTGTGATGGTTGTGAGGGGGATGAACAGTAAGGGGAGCATACTGATCTGACAGGGTGAGGCGGAGGATGGCGTTGAAAGGGGGTGTGCTGGCGATGGCGAGCAATCCTTATCCTGTCCCTGCTTATGATCATGAAGACGACGCTGTTCATGAGTACGGTGATTCTGACGGTGATGATGATGCTGATGATGATGCTAATGATTGCGGCAGTTACGGTAGCGACGACGCTGACGAGTATGGTGATGATGTTGATCATGATGAGGACGGTCTTGCTGATGATGGTGACGATGACGATGTTGATCTTGTTGATGCTGCTGCTGAGGATGATCATAATGACGCTGCAGCCGCTGTTGCTGATGATGATACTGACGATGATGTTGATGCTGATGCGGATGCGGATGCTGATGATGGTGCTGCTGGCGATGCTGGTGTTACTCGCAGTGCTGTAGCGACGGCAACGGCGATGAACGTAACGCTGATGAGAAGGAGTAGCAGGATGATGATGCTGCTGCTGATGATGTTGACTATGCTGACGATGGCGTTGATGATGACGATTATTATTATTATTGCTACTATTATTATGGTGATGATGATGCTGATGATGATGGATGTTGAGGCTGATGATGATGAGGATGATGATGCTGATGGTGCTGATGATAATGCTGATGCTGCTGATGCTCACGATGATGCTGAATCTGCTGACGATGCTGATGAACATGACGATGCTGCTGCTGATGATGATGATGCTGCTGCCGACGATGCTGCTGCTGACGATGCTGATGAGTAGGAGGGGGCGGGGGTGGGTTGGTTGACGAGGAGAGACAGGAGGGACATGATGATGAGGATGATGGTGATGATGTTGGGGATGATGATGCTGCTGCTGATGATGATGATGATGATGATGACGTCGATGCTGAAGCTGCTGCTGCTGATGATGAGGATGGTGGTCCTGCTGCTGATGATGCAGTGATGATTGTGATCATGATTATGCTCATGCTGATGATGCTGATGATGCTGATGCTGATGCTGATGCTGATGATGACGATGACATTGACGCTGATGCTGATGCTGCTGCTGATGATGATAATGATGATGATGGCGATGACGATGACGATGACGATGACGATGATGATGATGCTGATGATGATGATGATGATGATGATGCTGCTGTTGCTGATGATGATGGTGGTGATGGTGGTGATGGCGATGATGATGCTGATTATGCTGCTGCTGATGATAATCATGTCGGCCGTTAACGGTAGCGACGACCACGATGTTGATGACGTCGAGGATTGTGTTGTTGATGATGATCAGGAGGAGGAGGGAGGAGGCAGGAGAGAAAGGGAGGAGGACGGATAGAGAGAGAGTGAGACAGAGAGAGAGGGAGGAGGGAGGAGAGTGAGAGAGAGAGAGAGAGGCAGAGGGGACGTAGAGAGAGAGAGAGAGAGAGAGAGAGAGAGAGAGAGAGAGATAGAGAGAGAGAGAGAGAGAGATAGAGAAAAAACAGAGAGAGGGAGGTGAGAGAGAGGGAGAGAGGGAGCAGGGAGACGGAGGAGGGAGGAGGGAGGGATGGAGGAGGAGAAGAAGGCAGGACAGAGAGAGAGGCAGGAAGGCGGAACAGGGGGGGCGGCTGGGTGCCGCCGCTGCCACCTCCTCCCCCTCGAGGGGCTCATCCGGTTGCTGGTGAAGCACGACCCGAAGGACCCCCCCGGCGACCCCTTCCCCCTCGGGGGCGCCCCGGCGGAGCGCTCCGCACGCGCGCCGGCCTCCGCTGGGCGCCTCCGCGGAGGCCCCTCCGAGGGCCTCCGAGGCCGCTCGAGGCCTCCCGGGGGCCCCACCGCGAGGGCCCACCGCGAGGGCCTCCGAGGGCTCCTCCGACGGCCCTCGGGGGGTCCGTGGAGGGCCTCCGAGGGCCTCCGCTTGGGCCGCAGGTCGGAGGCTCCTCCCGGCTGCCTCGCGCCCTGCGGGTGCGAGGAGGAGGGGGATGCGGAGGGGGAGGAGGAGGAGGAGGAGGAGGAGGAGGAGGAGGACCAGTGAAGTTTCGAGAGTCGTCGACGATGTTGGAATTAACCCTCACCCTCCCTCCAAGCTCCCTCTACATAGGCCCCTACAACGGTTCATTTTCACTGAGGGAACTGCCTCGTTGGAAGACAACCGTTTGAAGATCATGAAGCATGCCGAAACATTGTTCTCGGGATTTCGACGCCACGGATCAACCTGGCTGCTGCGTCTTGACTGCCAGAACGCCATTTTTGGGACTTGACACCGCGAGTCAACATAATTGTTGCACCCGCATAATCCCGAATCTTTCTAAAACGCCATTTCTGGCACGTTGATCATGGGATTCCGTGAAACTCTGGCATTGTTCTGCAACCAGAAACAACACGAATGTACGCGGCGCTCAGGCGAGAGCCACATTTTGAAGATGACCCGCCCTAAATCCGTGAAGCTTCTGTATCTTTTAAATTCGAATGTGCGCGGCGCTAAGGCGAGAGCCACATTTTGAAAACGGCCCGCCATCAATCGTGAAACTCTTGCAACTTTGTATAACGAATGTGCGCGGCGCTCAGGCGAGAGCCACATTTTGAAAACGACCCGCTTTCAATCCGTGAAGCTTTTGCAATTTTATAATCGAATGTACGCGGCGCTAGGGCGAGAGCCACACTTTGAAACAACCCGCCCTCAATCCGTAAAACTCTTCATTTTTTGATTCGAATGTTCGCGGCGCTAAAGCGAGAGCCACATTTTGAAAACGACCCGCCGTCAATCCGTGGGGGAGAGAAGGGGGGGAGAGAGAGGGGGGAGAAAGAGGGGGGAGGAGTGAGGAGGCCTGAGGAGGAGGAGGAGGTAGAAGGAGGGCTGTGCAGGAGGGACGCCGCTCGAAGAGGAGGAAGTGGAGGATGGTGATGCTGCTGCTGCTGTTGCTGATGATGATGATGATGGTGGTGGTGATGGTGATGATGGTGATGATGATGATGATGATGATGATGATGATGATGATGATGATGGTGATGGTGATGGTGATGGTGATGCTGATTATGATGATGATGATGATGATGATGATGATGATGATGATGATGATGATGATGATGATGATGATGATGATGATGATGATGATGATGATGATGATAATGAGAATGATAATGATGATGATGCTAATCCTGATGCTGATGATGCTGATGATGCTGATGCTGATGCTGATGCTGGTGATGGTGGTGATGATGATGAGGAGGAGGAGGAGGAGGAGGAGGAGGAGGAGGAGGAGGAGGAGGAGGAGGCGGAGGAGGGAAAAGGATGCCTCAAGATGGGGACAACGAGGATTATTTGAGTGGGAAGCCGCTGGAGGAGGAGGATGAGGAGGAGGGAGGTGAGCAGGGAGAAGGAGGTCTCTAGATGAGAACGAAGAGGACTATGCATTGTGCGGCCTCTGGAGGAGAAGGGGGCCTTTGGATGAGGGGGATGAGGATGGTGAGACTGCTGGTGGATGATGCTGCTGCTGATGATGTTGATGATGCTGGTGATGGTGATGCAGCTGATTATGATTCGGCTGATGGTGCTGACGATGCTGATGCTGATTCTGCTTCTGCTGATGATGAGTATGATGATGCTGCTGATGCTGATGTTGCTAGTGTTGATGATTATGATGATGACGATGCTGATGCTGGTGATCATGATGCGGCTGTTGTTGATGGTGATGATGTTGATGTTGAGGAGGATGGTGATGCTGATGATGATGCGGATGCTGATGCTGATGTTGATGATGCTGCTGCCGATGATGATGCTGATGGTGGTGGTGGTGATGATGATGCTGTTGCTGATGGTGAAGAGGATTGTGTCGCTTGTGTTGCTGATGATGATGCGGAGGTCGAGGAGGAGGATGAGGAGGAGGAGGAGGAGGAGGAGGAGGAGGAGGAGGAGGAGGAGGAGGGCCTCTGTCGGAGAAAGCGTGGTCTGCAAACGGAGGTGGGCCAGGGGCCCCACCGTCTTCTCTGTCTGCATTGCAGCACCTCCCATCGTTCAGTCGTTTCCCTCTTCTTCTCTCCTTCCAGGTACATGTTTAGTCTGAAGAGTGATTCTACCCCCTCGCACTTCGCGTTGGCCGAGGGCGGGGGTGTCGAGGGCGTCGGAGCTTGCTCGAACTTGTCCGCAGCGTCACCGTCAGGAGGAGGCGTGGAGCAGGAGGATGCCTCTGGATGATACCTCTGAGCGCCTTCGACTCCATCTCGAACTCATCCAAGTGGATCCTTCCTTGTCTTCCTCTTCCTCTCCTCTCCTCGTCTCCTTCCTCTCCTCCTCTCGTCTCCCTCCTCCTCCTTTCGTTTCCTTCCTCTCCTCCTCCTCTCCTTCTCCTCTCCTTCCTCCTCTCCTCCTCTCCTCCTCTCCTTCTCGTCTTCCTCCTTCGTCCCCTCCTCGCCTCCTCTCCTGCCTCGGCCCTCGCAGGCTTCAAGATGCCCGCCATGGGCCAAATAGATAGCAGAAGCCCGCTGTCCTCTTCTCGTCCCTCCTCCTCTCCTCTCATTCCTCCTCGTCGTTTCCTCTATTCTCTATTCTCTCCTCCTCCCCGATGCTCCTCGTCCTGTCATCTCCCTTCTCAGCCTCCTCGCAGCCACGCTGTGTGTGTGTGTGTGTGAGAGAGGGTGTGTGTGTGAGTGAGTGAGTGAGTGAGTGAGTGAGTGAGTGAGTGAGAGAGTGTGTGCTCGTGTGTGTGTGTGTGTGTGTGTGTGTGTGTGTGTGTGCGGGTGTTGGGGACGGTGGAGGGCTGCTTGGGGGCCGTGCTCCCTCGTTCCTTCCTACTTCGCATGCCCCTCCCGCCCTCCCTTCTCCTCTTGTTCCTCCCTCCCTCCTGGTCTCCTCCCCCCCTCCTCCCTCGACGACTCCTCCTCTCCCTCTGGGCTCCTTTCTCTCACTCCTCTCCCTCTGGACTTCTCCCTCGTTTCCATGCCTCCTCCCTTCCCCCCTGGGCTCCCCCCGACGACGGCGATGAGGGGGCCTCTCGCAGGAGGTTACATCACCACTTCTGTCCGTCTGGAGGCCCGTGCCATGTCCCCAGGGCCGTTAGAGACCGATTTGGTGCGGACCTGGGAGGGCCCGACCCCTTGACCCCCTCGCGCCTGCGAGTGCGAGGAGGATGAGGAGGAGGAGGAGGAGGAGGAGGAGGAGGAGGAGGAGGAGGAGGAGGAGGAGGAGGAGGAAGAGGAGGAGGAGGAGGAGGAGGAGGAGCCGGAGGAGCCGGAGGAGCCGGAGGAGGCGGAGGGGAGGAGGAGGAGGAGGGGGAGGAGGGAGAGGGGGAGGGGGAGAGGGAGGGAGAGGGGGAGGGGCGGAGGAGGAGGACGAGGAGGAGGAGGAGGAGGAGGAGGAGGAGGAGGAGGAGGAGGAGAGGAGGGAGGAGGAGGAGGAGGAGGAAGAGAGGAGGCAGGAGGAGGAGGAGGAGGAGGAGGAGGAGGGGGGAGGAGGAAGGAGATAGAGGAGGAGGAGAGGAGCGGAGGAGGAGAGGAGGAGGAGGAGGAGGAGGAGGAGGAGGAGGAGAGGCGGAGAGGGTCGGAGAGGAGGAGGACGGAGGAGGAGCAGGACGGAGGAGGAGGAGACGGAGGAGTGAGGAGAGAGGAGGAGGAGGAGGAGGAGGAGGAGGAGGAGGAGGAGGAGGAGGCTAAGGCAGGCAGCAGGAGGAGGAGGAGAGAGGAGAGGAGGAGGAGGGAGGAGGGGAGGAGGAGGAGGAGTGAGGAGGAGGAGGAGGAGGAGGAGGGAGGATGAGGAGGATGAGGAGGAGGAGGAGGATGAGGACGGAGGAGGAGGACGAGGAGGTTTGAGGCGGATTTCGTCGAGGAGGAGTCGGCGGTCCTCCCTCCTCCACCGATTCTCCCTCGTCTCCTGTCTCCCCCCTCCCCCTCCACAATTACGCAATATGAATACTACTCTCCTCTCTCCCCTGCTGACGTCCGGAAGATGCTCGGCCCACCTCCGTGCTTTGTTTTTTGTCAGGATTCCCGGGAACTGGTTTTTCACTTCGCTCGGGAGCTCCCGAGCGGAGTGAACCACACCCTCCCCCCCAGAAATCGTGGGGGGTGGGGGTAGGGGTCGCATGTGGCCCCCTACTGGCGGCGCACGCCGCGGCTGGGCAGACGGCATGAATTGTTTTAGCGTCAAGTCGGGCTTGTCCCCCTATAGGGGGAATATTCACAAATAGTAAAATTATCCCAGTGCGACCCTACCTAGGAGTTGGAGCCCCTAGGAAAGCAGCATTGATAGTAACAGTAAAGCTAAGCTAAAGCTACGCTGAAGCTAAGCTAAAGCTAAGCTAAAGCTAAGCTAAAGCTAAGCTGAAGCTAAGCTGAAGCTAAGCTGAAGCTAAGCTGAAGCTAAGCTAAAGCTAAGCTGAAGCTACGCTGAAGCTAAACTAAAGCTAAGCTGAAGCTAAGCTGAAGCTAAGCTGAAGCTAAGCTGAAGCTAAGCTAAAGCTAAGCTGACGCTACGCTGAAGCTAAACTAAAGCTAAACTAAAGCTAAGCTGAAGCTAAGCTGAAGCTAAGCTGAAGCTAAGCTGAAGCTAAGCTAAAGCTAAGCTCAAGTTAAGCTCAATCTAAGCTCAAGTGAAGCTCAAGCTAAGCTAAAGCTAAGCTAAATCTAAGCTAAAGCTAAGCTAACTCTAAGCTAAAGCTAAGCTAACGCTACGCTAAAGCTAAGCTAAAGCTAAGCTAAAGCTACGCTAAAGATAAGCTAAAGCTAAGCTAAAGCTAAGCTAAAGCTAACACTAACGCTAAAACTAAGCTAAATCTAAGCTAAAGCTAGGCTAACGCTAAGCTAAAGCTAAGCTAAAGCTAAGCTAAAGCGAAAGCTAAAGCTAAAGCTAAAGCTAAAGCTCCCAAGGGACTGGGGGAACCGCTCCCAGGGGACTGGGGGAACCGCCCGGGGCGCTTTACACTGCCCGGCCCCTTTAAGCTAAGAGAGTAAGAGCCCTTCTAGGCAGAGCCTAGGTAGGGAAACATAGTCTGGGGGCTATTCTTGGAGTATTTTTAGGCATTTTGGTGTTTTTTTCGAATATTTGTTATTTTTCGTCGCAAATCCCCCTGTAGGGGGACACGCCCGATCTGATTTTGGCGTCGGGTTCTCGACGCTCCGCGCGGGCTTCGCGGATCTGCGCCAGGGCCCCCCCGGCGGCTCCGCCGGCGCCGCCCTGGGGACGCGCGGCGCGCCAAGGGGGGGCCGGGCGAAAGGGGAGGATTGGGAAAGGGGGGGTTACGAAATTTGCTGCATGCAGCTGGTTTCGGCCCGACGTTTTGGGTGTCGAGCAGCGGGGGCTGGGCGAGCCTGCGCGGCGGGGTGGCCGTGGGCGACAGTGGCGGGCGGCCGACGACTCGGGGGGGGGGGAGGGAGGACGCGGCGCCGGCGAATTCGCAAGGCTCGGGGCTGCGTGGGGTCGTCGGGCCGGATGACAGGGGGGGACTGGGAAGGGGGGGGGGTACGAAATTTGCTGCATGCAGCTGGTTTCGGCCTCACCGAGGGGCCCATTCCTCGATACATGGCCGCTTCCGGCGCCGGGAGGCGCCGGGAAAATCAGCTACGTGAGCTGATTTTCAAACCCCCCCTTTGCTATCCCCCCCTTTCGCCCGACCCGACAAGGGGGGGGGGTTCCAGTGTCGAAGAGGAGCAGACGGCATGAGCGCTTGTGGGATCCCAAGCCTGGCCAGCAGGGCGCCGACAGGGCCGGGGGAGGCCTGTCGCGAAGAACCCCGGGAGCACCTGCCGAGACCTCCCGAAGGACCTTCTGCAGAGCTTCCGGGCACGCGCAGGGGGAAACGCTGAGAGGAGGCCTGCGGGGAACGCTGCCAGTTCAAGCAGGTCCCGCCGAGGTGTCCCGCCGGAAGCCGAGACGAGCTCCGGGGCTACCCTGCGGCTCCAGCTTCTGACATCAAACGCCCTCTCAGCTCTCAGGGAGAGCTGTCTGGGAGCAGATCCTCGACATGCCGCGCTGGTTTCTCGAACATCCGCGCTGGGCCCCCCTGGCGGCGCCTCTGGCGCCGCCCCTGGCGCCGCCTCTGGCGCGCCAGGCGGGGGTCCAGTGCGGATCCAGGAGCGCCGCGCGGACCGTGCTTCGCGAGGGCCGCCGAGGGCCTCCTCCTCCTCCTCCCTCCTCCTCCTCCTCCTCCTCCTCCTCCTCCTCCTCCTCCTCCTCCTCCTCCTCCTCCTCCTCCTCCCCCTCCTCCTCCTCCTCCTCCTCCTCCCCCCCCCCGCCGCCCTGGCGGCCCTCGCAGCACCGCCCGCGCACCCCTCGGCCGCGAGCGTGCAGGAGTTGCGTGCGGCTGCCCCTCGGCGACGGCGGCGTCCTCGCGGGCGCGGCGGCGCGGTGGTCGTGGCGAGCACGCGGAGAGGCGCCAGCACGGACGTGCTCCTGGTCGAAGCCATCGGTGATGGGCAAACCTTCCACCACCCTTACCTCCTCCTCCTCCTCCTCCTCCTCCTCCTCCTCCTCCTCCGCCCTCTGCTACATATGGCAGTGGTGGTGGAAAATGGGCCCATCACGGGGCGGATGGGAGCCCCGCGATGGCCGCGCGTCGCGGCTCCCAGTCCGCGGCCGCCCCGCGGGCAGGGCGGACGAGCTGCCGTCAGGTGCGGCGCGGCTGCTCGGCGGGCGGCGCCTGGCCGTGGTGGTGCACCGTGCACCAAGGACGGCGGCGCTGGCACGCACCGGACACGCTGCGCCAGCACGCCCTCGACCTCCTGCAGAGCCGGCCCGCCGTGCGCGTCCCCCCCGTCCTTCACATGACTGGTGTGCTTCCTCGGCGTGTGTAGGTCCGGCGACGCGGTCGGGGACCTGGCACCTCGGGTGGTGGCCAGGTCCCCGCGGTCGCGGACCGCTCGGCGCCCGCGCAGTCCTGCGAGGCGGATCCCCTCGCGGCTGTGCTGTCCCATCCTGCTTCCCTCCACCGTGCACTCCTCCCTCGTCCCCTCTCCTCCTCCTCTCTTCCCTCTCGCCCTCTCTCTCTCTCCCTCCCTCTCTCTCCCTCCCTCCCCCCTCTTCCCTCCCCTCTTCGGCTCTTCGGCCCCCTTCCCCTGCCGCTCGTCCTCGGCCCCTGGGCCTTCTCCTCGGCGGGGGCCTGGGCGCCCAGGAGCGCCTGAGCGCCGAGCAGGCCCTGAACCACTCGTGGATCAAGAACTGCGCTCCCCAGGCGCCCCGGGCGCCGAGGGAAATCGTCGACGGAGTGATGGTGGTGGTGGTGATGATGATGCTGTTGATGACGATGATGCTGCTGCGGATGATGCTGATGGTGATGACGATGCGGACGAGGATGTGGATGGTC